AAAAAGTTTAGAAATGAGAGAGAAATTGGGTTGATGATTGAATAATTTTATTTTCAAACTATTGTCTAGTAGACTAGTAGTAAGTCAGTCCTTAACTTAAATAAATAAATTGATCTTTAAGATTTAATTATAGTTGCATTTCAATCTTCAGATCTTGGAAAAAAAAAATACAGATTTCAGTTAATCGCAACATGAATTTATCCCTTGTTTGATAGTTATTATTTTGAAAAACATTGAGTTTTGAATAATGATTTTTGGAAAATGTGTGGTTAAAAAGTATTAAAAAAATTTAATTTTACATACAAAATATTTTATTGTATAGATGTGTGGCAAAGATATTTTAAATGCAAAGGATGTCGCGGTGAAGATAAACAACATTATTAGTTCAACTCGCAATGAGTCGAAGGCATGTGTCAAGGAGTTGTTGGTGAACGGAAAGCTCGTCACGAAAACTGAATTATGTTATTATGCTTGTACGCTATTGACACATAAGCGTAATAGAGACATACTTGAAGTGATGGAAGACTCAGATCAAAAGTTTGAATGGGTGGAGTGGAATGTCAATGAGCACAAAAAGTTGCAAATTAAGTAAAATGTGAGGGGCGAACTTGCTCATTGAAATCTTTTCGTAGGATGTCGGTTAGTCAAATTACGTTTATTGTGTTTGTGTTGTTTTTTTTAATGCTGAACATGACCATGAATTTTTCCACATCCTTTTATTGTTATTGCATGAATGGAGATATATGTCCTGGATATGCATGGTAAATAACTACTATAAGATTCTTTTGTATGTGTTGAAACTATTTTTGAAAAACAAGAAACAAAATAAAGGTAGATACTTTTCTTACGTACACATAAATCTAACTTGACTTGTTACTTTTTATTGAGAAGTTAAACCAAACCATCATCATTTTCAAATATATTTTCTTATCACTATCATCTATAAAATGCAACGTTGATACCTACATTGTTCATAACAAGAGTCAGTTTTATCACTATTGATTTTATTTCTTTTCTCACTACTGAAAATTTTTGATCATCTAAAAAGAAGTGCTATATCTTGGTCCTGGAGGACTTCAATTACAATTGTAATCTTTTGTCGAACTCAGATGACGATGACGAAATCGATGGGGTGGCATATTTGAATGAGCTCGTGGCGGACATAATGGAGTGACTTCATTATTGTTAAATCGTTAAATGCGACGTGATGCACCACTATTGTGAGCAACAACGTCGTATTCTTATATTTCCATTTGCTAGAAATGGTCATATGCTTATGTTAGAGGCAATGGAAGGTAATGGAAAATTTGCTACCAAGAGTTCCGAATGCACCCATTGATGTTAAAAACATTTTACACACATCCTTCGTGATAAGTATGGTCTCAGGGGTGGCTAACATGTACATGTAGATGTTTGTGAATAAATTGAAATGTTCTTGTGCTTACTAGCGCTCAGAAAAAGTTATAGGCAGGTCCAAAGGCTATTCAATCATTACTTGTAAACAGTGGAGCATTACTTTAGAGAGGTTTTTCATACCGCTTGCACGTTATCTGTACATGTAATCAAATCGGATCTCAATGACAACATGGATGCAGAGCATCACAGTCCGGATGCCAACAAGCATCCATTACTCTGAATTGAATCAGTACGATTGACAGAACGCATGTTACGGCTATTTTGCCATTGAGAAACGCAAGAATCGACCTTACTACACCTAGATGGGGTGATTAGGTGTAAATACGGAATTAATACTTAATTAACATACAACAAGTCACAAGTTGATTATGTCTAGGTGATTAGTCAAACAATTCAATTTGTCCTATGTTGAAATACCGAAGTGATGTCAAAGCAGTAAATAAAATAATAAACAACACTAGAATTGTTCATGGAGAAACCCACGTGGGAAAAGCTACGGGTACATTGCCAGTCAAAGATCCATTATAAACCGTCAATATAACTTACAGACTACCAGCAAAATTGACAATATAAGCTTTCTGAACTCCTGTCTGAAGTATGAGGCAGCCCTCCTGGAATGTGCATATCAACACCAATCCTGGCTC